AACAAGCTTTGCTTTTTATAGTCGTCTCTATTTGAATGTCTGACCAAAACAGAACATATCCCCTAGAAGAGAACTTGAGAATTTACCCGACAGTTGCGCTCGAAAGTTTAGAATGGTTTTGTAATTTAACAAACTAGAATGTTGCATTCTCTTAAGTTTTTGTTTCCAAGCCCCAGTTCCAGGGTCAAATCTGCGGCCAAAACCCTTGGATGTATTTGAAATTTGTTAATATATTTCATTCCAGGGTTTTTTTGGAGTCGATGATTACTTATCTGAACATAGTTTTTTAAAATTCAAAATGGCGGATCCAATATGGCGGACGAATTTATGAAAAATTGATCCAATTGGTCTAAAAGATGTTACTTTGTCAGTTTTCGGGGTTTCTTAATATTTTTGTAGAAAATTTTCAATTTTCAAAAGGAAATAAATTGCATCATTTCTATTTCTTAATTACAATTGCTTTAATAAAATTCAAAGTTTTTTAAAAATAATGAAAAACAAATGTTTATAAATTCTCTTTGTCAAAATGCAAATTTTAATTGAAAACGAAATTGAAAATTTTAAAATTTTTAGAAAATAAAGGAAAATATTTTACTCAAAAAAATGTTCTCTTACATTTATTTACGAATTTCTTTAATTGTAAAATTATTCGAAAATATCAATAATTTCTTTTTTTAATAAATATTTCATTATTATTATTTTTTCACGCAGGAATTAAGATTTTCAAAAATTTCAAATTCAAACCTTTTTGAAATTAAACAACTTATATAAGTATTATGATTATTTTATATTCAGAATATTCATACTGTTTTTTCTTCAAAGTTATTGTCATAATTTTAATTCAATTATTATTTTCAAAAATTTTTAACTAAAATTCTTCTCTATAAATCAACTATTTTTTAATAATTTTTGAAAAAGTTCTTTGAGAATTTTCAAATACATTTTGTTTAAAACTCAATTTTATGAAATTTCGATTATTTGAAAATTCTTCAATTAAATATTCATTAGAAAATAAAAACTTCAAATTACTTATTTAAAAAAATAAATTAATTAAACTTTTTTAGAAAAATTAATTTTTCAGAATTGCCAGTTAAAAGTAAAGAAAATTCAATTTTTCAAATATCTTAATTGAAAAACTTTTCAAAATTATTCAATTATTTCAATACTAAAGTAAACAATTTATAGAATAATTGAATGTTTTTTAAATTTTATTTCTTATTTAAATAATTTTATTGACAAATTTTTAAATAATTAAATTCTTTTGACGAATTTTAATAAAATTTTTAAGAATAATTACATTTTACGAGAAATTTAATTGAAATAATTGTACTAAAAATAATTTAAATTCTGCGATGCGCTTTATTATTTATGAAAATAATTTAATTCCTGAAACAAATTGATTATTTAGCAAAATAATTGAATTTCTGCAAGTATTTGTAATTTCTCAAAAATTCAATTTTTAAAAATATTTTTAACTAAAATTTTTCTATAAATTTATAATTTTTAATAATTAATTAAGTAAATATTGACAAATTCTATAAATTTCATGAAGAATTTGAATTATTAACATTTTGCAAAAATCTAAGTTTTATAAAATTTCTAATTAAATTAATTGAAAATTGAAATTTTATAAAATTTCAAATTTTAAAACCTTTTGAAGTTAATCTATTTATGAAAATTGTAAATACAACTCTTTTAAAATTGAATTAATTTTGAAATATTTAAGTAAAATTATTCATCAAATAATTTATAATAATAAAATTAAATTGCAATCCATATTTTGATTTTATAAACAAATTTTGAATTATAAATTTTTAAATTCAATTATTTTTAAAATTGTTAATTTTATATAAAATAGTCACAAAAAAAAGTTGGCGAAGAATTAAATAACTAGAAATTTTTTTTTAAATTAAAAAATGTTAAACTAGTAATTGATTACATTTAATGTTATTATTACAAAATTAATAATTATTAAAAAAATAAGAAACCTTTATTAATTTACTTCACTTCTATTGGGATGTTATCAAGTCAGAACAAATGTAACTAATTGCTTCTCCATTTCATTTGGCACCCATCTTTTGCAGACATTGACCATCATACAGTATATATATATCTTGTGAAAAAAGCCACAAGAAATTACGAACCAACAGTTTTTGTGATCACATTATTTTTATAACAATACACCTTTAAAAACGTGACCTTAACTGTGGCTACTTGCCAACTTAATTCCTGTAGATTGTATCGACAATTGTTAAAACACAGTTAGCAGCATCTACTTTTCTTATTATTCTCTTTTTTTTTAATTGAGAAAGCTAATAAGAACTTTTCTTTTATTCTAAAATTAATTAACTGAAATTCTAAAATTAATTATTATTACAGAATTTTTGAACACTCTTTTCGTTAAATTATTAAAATTTACATATTTTTCAACTTCCCTCATCTATTTAGATTTCTCAACATTTCAATTTTATTTCTATAATAAACTTTTATAAATCATCAGATAATTAAATGTCACATAAACATTAAGGTTAAAATTAGATTCGTTACTTTTTCTTTTTGTATATAACATGAGACGTCTTGTAAAAAGAAAAATTTGATTACAATCTGCATAATAATGTAAGATTATTATATATTCATAAAGATTGAAGTAATTACATTAATAACTTACCATAAATCAGATAAAATATCATTATTTTCGAATTTCTTAGAAATATAAATTATCTTTTAGTCTAATAAAAATTTTTTTTCTCTAAATAATTTCATTTTAAGTGCGACTTTAAATTTTGCCTTATGTTATGTCTAATTGAACGTCATATTGTTAAAATTCATAATAAAATTGTTTATTTTCAAATGTTAAATTTAGAATAATTTTATATTAAATAAATAAAGAAGACGATATTAAGAAAGTTATCCGCATTCTTACTGCAGATTGTTTCACTTGTGTCAATAAATTAAAAAATCGTTTTTTTCAATGAAACCTTTTTTTTTTGTTGAATATAAACAAATTTACAGTATCTAATGATTTACTCACGGAATTATAAGGAAAAAATGCTCTGGTTTATTGTTTGTTAAAAATGTATTAATATTGGACAGCCATTAATATTGGAATAAGCCAGGAATTTTATGCCAATTTTTCACAAAATTAAAAAAAGATTTATTGTCTTAAATTGTTTTTAAAAAATCGCTTTTTATTTTAATTTTTATAGATATCTATACTGTTCTCTAAATTTGAATTACTAATAATAATTAATTTAATAGTAAAAAATCAATCACTGATTCAAATAAATAAATAAATTAAAAAACATTATCGAATTAATAGAAATTTTGTGAAATTCAACTAAAAATAATTGAATTTATTAAAGAATTTAATTAAAAACTTTTTAACAAACCTAATTTTCAAAGTATTTTAATTTAATAATTCATAAATAATTGAATTTTAAAAAGAATCACATTTTAATGTATTCATGTTTCTTAGTACGAAGATGAATAATTAAAATTTTTATTGGTTATAATTAAAAAAAAACATACACACTTAAAATTTTTTTAAAAAATTGAATTTTCGCAAAGTTTTTTTGAAAATTCTGAAAAATAGAATTTTTGAAATTTTCGAATTCTATTGTTTCAAGATAATTGAATTTTTATAAACAAATATTTAGAAATTTTTGAAATAATTGAAATTTCTTTACATTCTATTAAAAATAATTAAATTCTTTTAAAGAGTTTTATTACAATTTTTCAAAAATAATCAAGGAAAGTTAGTAATCGTAATTATAATTTTATTTTTAATTTCTTCGCAATATATTCAATTATTTTCATAAATAGTAAAACTCATTGTAGAATTTCTATTATTATCAATACAATTTTAATCAAATTCCTCGAAAAATGTAATTATTCTTTAAAAATTTTATGAAAATTCGTTAAAAGAATTCAATTATTTCATGAAACTGTAATAAAATTCTTCTCAAGAATTTAATTATTTTCATAAATAACAAAATTCTTCAGATTTACTAAATTCTTTTGAATATTATTTTTAAAAAAAATTCTTCTCTAGAATTCAATTATTTTCATAAATTTCCGTAAAATTCTAAAAAAAAACAATTCAATTATTTGCAAAATTTTTCATAAAATTCCACTCAAACATTGAATTATTTTTCATAAATAATAACATTCTTTTGAAGGATTCAATTACTTTTATAAATAGTAAAATCCTTCGCAGAAATTCATTTAGTATCAATACATTTTAATAAAACTGAATAAATCAAATTATTTTTCAAATTTTTAATTAAAACTATTAAAAAAACATTATTTTAAAAAAAATTAAGGAAACTCGTCGAAAGAATTTAATTATGTTCGTAATCAAATAAATTTAAATTTGATGAAAAAAAAACCGAGAAAATGAGGACAAAACTAATTAATCAGTATTAAGATGACTCAATTACTGACAATTAGAATTTATCATATATATTTAAGAACTTTACTATTTATGTATCATAACTGGCAATAGTAATTGACACTTGAAGCCATATTGCAACCAGTATTAACTTTCTCGAATGGAATGTATACAATGAAATTTTATATGCTTCTAACTGGTAAAATGATGTTTTACGAATATAGTCTTTTTTATTTGAAAATAATAAAATTAAAGGTTTCTTTTAAATTTTATACCTGAGAATAGACAGTAGAACACTCGTTAAAATTTGTCACAGATTAAATTATAATTTTTTGTCTACCTCTATGTGAAGAAAAGTGTCAAAAAAACATATTGTGTTAAAAATCTTACGCTCTCTTCGTCTAAAAGTGAAAAAGCCCTCAAGAATATCTTCGTAAAATCTAAGATATATCTGTTTCTTTCTCCCTTCGACATAAATCGCAAAAGATTATCCCTCTCTACTTATTTAAATATATATTCGCTTCCTTTACGAATAAATTAAGCGCAATAATAAAAAAAAAAATATTTAGAATCAATAATAAAAAATATTTCTTCAAATAATATTGTTTTTAGAATCTTCAAAAAATTTTATAAACATCTAGAAGGAAATTTTATTTTCCTTTTAGTTGAGTTTTCCTCTACTTTTTTTAACTGAAAAAACACAAGATCGAGTATATATAAGACGTGATCAAAATGTAATAATTAACATAAAGACATTTACAAAAAATGTATCTTTCAATAATAGCAATTTTTGTGCTCTTGTGTATGTCACTTCTCACAGGAGAAGTCTACGCGTGCGTTCAGAGAAATGGCAAATGTCGTAAAAATTCTCAATGTTGCAGTAAACGTTGTGGAAAACGTAAGTTTATATTGAAACTTTTTTCCATTTTTAAAAAATAGTTGACAACTTTTTTAAGTAGGTGATTTTTCCATTTAAAGATAAATAAATTCAAAATTTTCAAAGATAATGATTACTCTTTAAGTTTCTGTAGCACTTATTTTTTATCTAAACAATTATTCGAATTACTTAATAGTTCTGTTGAAAAACCAAAATTCTGTGTACGTAATAGTTATGATTTTATACAGGGTTGTCACATTTTTGTTCTTTTTAAATTCCCTGACTTTTCCATAGGTTTTCCAAGTTGCGTGGCAACCCTGTTATAGAAAAAAATATAAATATTCCTGATGATAATATTTGTATTAGTGTTTTAGTATAAATATTTCCAATGGAAACGATTATTTACCAAGGAGAGTAAATATATATTAATTGTCATAAGAAGGAAGATAACATTTTTAATTTTATTTTACAGTTTCTAAGAGATGTGATTAATGGAAGTTTGACAATTCACCGAATGGCAGTTTTCGTCCAGATTTAGTTTTAACATAATTTGATGCTCAGTTATTTGTGTAAAGTTTCTTGTTACCTCAATTATTATTAATAAACTATTAAAAGGTATTATGTCTTTCGTTTTTTACGTTCATTAATGCGCATATCTTTATTTTTAATAAAAATCCTTTTTTTATAATCAGATAAAAATATTCCACTTGCTATTGGCAATAATTTAAACATTTCCCATTAAAGATGAGGATGATCCTCTACGGAGGAAGTTATAGCCGACTAAAGTAATATATTTCCTCGCAAAGAGGATTACCTCAGAGACTCGATCTTATTTACTATTACTTTTAATCTAGTCCATCCACGTCCCATTAGTGCCAGGGGTTATTTTTACAAAGCTCTGTTTATAAACATAAGGGTCAATTCCATTGAGAGGTTGCCCACTTTCAGAGCATATTGCTGGAACACCTCATACCCTATGAGAAAATCTCAACACCCACTAGATTTGTTTTCCTTATCAACAGCCTTTGTCTGGCCCGTAGCTTCCGCAGCTTTCTTCATTAATACAATAGGTACACATTATCGATTGGAGTTGAAGACTCCTTCATCCCTGGAACAGCTAATTAGTAGTTCATACACACTGCCTCTTTCAAATTGCTTGGCTTGTTAATAATTTATACCTCAAACCATATCAGTGTTTACTCTATGTAATTATTAACTTCTTTTTAGTTTTAATCTACCATAATATTCGTTTTTTTAAATAGTATTTGACTCGTTCTTTGTTTTTGGTAAGAAAAGTCAACTTCTTTTTTTTTATACTTTTGTTGCGATTATTTATATTTTAGTGTCAAGTCAGTTTTCAGCAGCGCTTCTGAAATTGAAATCGCAACCTACAACGAATAACGAGATAATGTCACAAAATTGTAGGATAAGAAATTGCAATTAAATGAAAAGTGTAATTTAATTTACGTTGCTCTAAATTATTGCAATTAAACTAATTGAGGGCTCGGATCGAAGAACCGACGCTACGCAATGTTCTGGGCGTTTACAAGCGTTTTTCCGATTTAATTTTAATTAATAATAATCAAAATTGGGACGGGGTTTGGTAAATAATCATAAGAAATAATTCTATCTGAATAAATTGTATACTTCAAGTGAACGCAATTTTGAAAAGATGGAAATGATGCACGAACTTTCTAATATCTGAGTCTGGTGATCTTGGACATTGGAACAGCGGGTTGTAGTTCTTAGCAAATGACTCCTTAAGTGGTTGTGTTGCACATTTGTTTTAAAAAAAATTTAATAAAATAATAATTATTACTTTTATTTTATGTTTCTTTAACGTTTTCCTCTTCGAATCGCAACAACCAATCAAGGGTTTATCCTTGATTGTTTAAAGTGCGAGATTCGTGTTTTCCCCGTTTAATTTACTAAAAATTTAGAATTTAGAAAAGAGTAACTAAAAATGGTTGCGGAATGGGATGTTTTTAATTAATAAACATTTATTTCCCTTATAAGTTTAAATTTATTTTCCCTTTTCTTTTCAAAATTTAAGCGTAAACATTACAATAATTATATTTTCGCCTACCGCTAAACTTATCCTACCACCTCCACTTCGTAAAGATGGGCCTTGTTTAATTGTTTTGTCTTGATCACCTCGATTGTAGTTTTCAATAATTCTTCGCTTGATCCCTTGAGATGTCGATTATTTTAAACACAATTCTTACGACCGTGATTTTACTCGCGTTAATTCTACCTTTGATGTGTTGATTCTTTTTCACCACTATCGATTAACCGAGTTGTTAAAACTTGTCTTAATTAGTGTAGGAAACTAATTAAGGGACAGTTAAGAACACGTCTTCTTATTATGAATGACCGATTAATACTGCCCTGAATGAACTGTGATGTCAATTTTTATACCAGAAACTATATTTCTGTTGGAAGGAAATTCTGCAACTATGACATTCCTCAGGGATCGTTGTCCCATGTTGAAATAATTTATTATTTCTTTATTTCGAAGGAGTACCCCTTTGGATCGCTTTTTCTGACTTTGCTTTCTTTTGAATTAAGCAAGTCAATAGTATATTAATCCATGATTGCCAAAGACAAACAAAATTACTTATAATAATTGTTGCTTCATTATTTGGCAATCATTATTATTCTTTTATATTAATAATAAGGGTTAACAACCTTCCCAGTGTGCACGTTCCGGAACAATTCCGGAACAATTCCGGAACCTTTCTGTAAATGTTCTTTATTTCCATTAACTGTTACAGAACAGTTGCAGAACGTGCACACTGGGTTGCAGCAATAAGTTATTGAACTTTTTCTGATTTAATTATTTATTATTTAATTATTTATAGTTATTATTATTATTGACATTGTTATTAGTTTTAATTGTTATTGTTGCCATTCTCATTATTATTATTATTTTTACTAATTATACATATTATTATTGTTTATTGAAAATATGTTACGATGACTTAACATTAGAATACATATCTGTATATAAAACTAACGGATGCTACTTTTTAACTCCCGGTACTTCTTCAACTTTTTTATAAATCCTATGGGAAATGAAAGTTGGTTCTCTTCCTCTACATCGGAAATAGTTTGCCAAGGATACTTCCTACACCACTATCTTTTTACATTTTTTTCTACAATTAAAGAAATGACTCTTTATGCTTAAGTTACTTTTCTATCCTTTTAAAAGTATGTCTTGCTCATAATCAACATAAAGCCTCTTTTTTTACTACATTCTTTTTAATTTCCACTAAAAACTATGTTTAGCAGTATTTTTATTATTCTACTCCTATTTAAATGTGTAATAATTATTTAGTTATATATAGTGGTTAAATGAGTGAGGGATTAAGAGGAATGGGAGATAATAACATTTAGAAAAAGAAACTTTCCACTTTTATGCTAAGAAGTATAGTGTAAAAAAAGAGATCACCCCTCTTAATTACGGACGACGTCGCCTTCCTAGAATTATACGAACTGTGTATCTACTCTTTTAACTAAGCTCTGCAGTGTAATTAGGACACACCCTAAGGCAGTCAACTTTTTTTTTTGAAATATAATCGTGATTGCTTTCTTCCGCCATATTTCTGTATTAGTAGGTGATTCTTTGTTTTGGGTAAATAGAAATATTTCTATTCATGCTAAAAGCGAAATATGTTGCTTTCTTGAAATTTAATAATTCTCTTAATAATAAAATGATACTAACGTTATTAAAATTTCCACAAATTTGGATATATTGGTCACTGTAAAATTCTTTGACATTACCAGATAAATAAATAAATTTACCAAATAAATTATTATGTGCTCATGTTACGTCGAATCGTAACCTACCTTTTTAACATTTTAGTTCCTCGTTTTAAGTATGAAATTCCTAAGACATCTTATTCGGTATGAGGATAAGAGTCAATAAATATTAAGATGTTGAATTTAATTTGCATTTATTAAAATAGGTTGCAATTATATTTTCTTGAATGTCGGAGATAATATTGAGAAGCCGTGAGAGAGGATCAGTTTCCATTAGACTAATAAATCACCTTAAAGAATTTGAATTTAAGTTGCATTTATTAAATTGGGATTTCGGTACTTCCAAATTGACATTTTTGCAAAGAAGAATGAGAAAGGCATCCTTCAATTTCGAGCCTTATAAAAAACTCTTGACTTGTAATTTAATAATGTAGCAACCGTTATGTCTCAGAACGAAACTTAACATAACCCAAATTATATTTATTTTAATTGGCCGGCATCGGTGATTCAAACCTGATTTATTTACAGAGCGGAAAGCTCTGATATTAATGGACAGGTTTCAAGAAAAAGGAACTTAAATTAAAATTAAAATTATATAAGTTTTTATTTGAATCTTTAACAATTAGAATCAGAGAGAAAGAGTAGATTCAGATGTCTTCAGGGACACTGAAACAAAACTCCTTCAGTGTAATGTCGAAGAAATGACTTTGTCTAGCGGAAGCAGAGAATGCAGTAGATTTCCTTCAAATTGTTTTCGAGACAGCCAAAGTGAAAGGTTCGGAGTCCAGATGTCGATGCAAATTAGATGAAACACCCCTCAGCCTAGGAGTGACCGAATTATTTATTTGATATTCATGTCGATGTAATGCAGTCCTTACACTGAAAAAAAAAGTTCATTGAATCAAGTAAATGCATTTTCTTGACCTGATTTACTTGAAACAAACCCATATTTTCTTATTGGAAGAAATTTATTTTCTTGTGTCAAGTAATTTTGAGCATTGATCAAAGTTATTGGAATAAGAAAATATGGGTTTGACATAAGTAAATATCTTACTGTTTCAAACGAACTGTTTTACATGCGCCAAGTCTCGAAAAAGTATTGAATCAAGAATATCATGTTCTCACGTCAAGTAATTTACCTTGAGTCATTTGGTATCTTGAGTCAAATAATTTTTTTATTTCCTTTAAAGCAACTATTTATTTCATCCAACACCCATAGTCTTGAGCCAAGAAAATGGGAAGATTAATGCAAGTTAATAATTGTTTCAACTCAATTAAAAATTATTTTGTTTCAAAGAAATATTAATTAATCTAAGCATTTCTTTTACTTGAAGCATTTCTATATTCTCATGTTTCAAAATCATTAATTTCTTGCGAGAATGTTATATTTTCTGGAATGAAATATTTTATTTATTCAATTCAATTAAGTGTAAGATCTTAATATAAGTAAATATTTGTTTCAAGTCGATTAAAAATTATATTCTATTAATCCCATATTTATTTGAAGAAAGAAATTCATTTTCTTGTGTCAAGTAATTATTAGCATTGAACAGAATTCTTGAATTAAGAATGTAGTATTTGGCGGAACTAAATATGTAATTATTTCAACCAAATATTTTACTTTTCCAAAGTACCAAAAAGTATTGAATCTAGAATATATGTTCTTAAGCGAAATAATAAAGTATTGTCTGGAGAATTCATGTTTCTTGAATCGAATCATTTTATTTATTTGCTTTGAAACTTTTTTTTACTTAACACAATGCCGGTGTTCTTGATCCAAGAAAATATTTTTCTTCAAATGTATATGCAACTTAAATATCAGTTTTTGAAAACTGTCCATTGAGGCTAGGATGGCA